GTCAGCAAAATTAAATGCCAAATGAATATGGTAACAACATAGTGTTGCTAAGGTTGTTATGAAGTTTGTAAGATTGGAGCATCTTACCTTCCATAATACTTTCCTCCGCTGTCGTGCTGAAACATCCAGTTGATTTGTAGAAACAATATTGAAACTCTTCATTGTACTTGAGTTGCTTGATGCAGATGCTGGTGAAGGTGAACTCATATTTCTTTCATTAAAGATTGATGAAGTTAAATCAGATAGTGGTGTTATGAAATTAACCATGGTTGGAACATAATACCTTTGAGAGTTTTCAATGGGATTGATTGTGTTTTCATCAGTTCTTCTTTTTTTTCAATCTTTTATCTTTAAGAATCTTCTTTTTACGTCTTGCCATTGCTGCAACTTGTGGTTCCATAGTGTTGGTTAGGTGATGCAAAAATGAATGGTAGAAAATCATTTTGATTGTATGATTGTCATTCAATTTTTTTTTTTGTTAACCACATAAAATGATTGTAGACATAAAATGAATAATGTTTTTGGTTATATGATAATAAATATAATTGTTAATACAACATTCACGTCCAAGATTTTGAAGTAAAATACTGAAGTCAACAGAATACCGAGTGATTATTTTTGTGAACCATTTTAATTATTAATAATAATAATTAATAATAATAATAGCGTTAAATAGTGTTAAGTGTTATTTCAAAATTTAATTAAAAATGTTATAATTATGGACAATCAAGTACCAATAAGAAAAATGTAACTTTCGAGATTCTAAACATTCTGCCAATTAATCTTGAATTGAAAAGAAAAGCAATGGTCAGAAAAAATCATTAAATTTTCACGATTACCATTTAATATTTTTTTATCATGATTACAATTATAAAGTTATTTGAAAAGATTATGATATATTTTAGTTATTTCATAACCATAAAAAAATTATCAAATCTCAATTGATTTTGTTTTGTTTTATTAACCTTTTTATAGAAATTGAAATAATTTATTTTAGGTCAAATAAGGATCTAAATAATTACAAAATAATATTTATTCTTACATTTATAGAATGGTAAATTAAATATTTAAGATAAACATTAGAGTTCTTATTTACTTTATCTTTTATATATTTATAATATACTTTTTTTGTTAATTTTATTAACAATATATTTATAGTTAACAATACATCCTTTAAACTACGTTATTTTTTTCAAGAATATAAATGTAACCTTTCAAAAAATATACACAAATATATTTAGAAGTCGGTAGAAAATTTTATTGGTTAAATTATAATTCCATTCAAAATTGATTGATCATAAATTTTTGAAATCAAATCATGCATAAAAATAAAATGTATTAATGTGACCATTCAAAATATTTTCTATATATAATAAAAATAAATAATATTAATACCTCTATTCAAAAGATATATTTGTAAAGTTTTGATTTAATTTTTTTCATATCTTTATATATTCTAATGTATATAATATTCCTACAATATGAAACAGTATCAAACCTATAATATTAAAATAGAATTCAAATTTTATTGATCATAATATTTTATGGAATCAAATCTTATATAAAAATTAAATATATTTATGTCACCAATAATTTCCATATAAGTATAATAAAAATAAATGATAATAATGTCTTCATTCAAAATATATATTGGTAAAGTATCGAATTAAATGGTACTCCAATATTTGATTAAAAAATTGTAATATTTGTTTTTAATATTGTATAAAAATATATTAATTAGTCGTACTTTAAAAAAATAAATCGTAAATATTTTATTAAAAATTGTAATATTTGTTTCTAAAATTATAGCAATTAAAAATAAAAAAATACCAATATAAAATAAAAAATTTATTCAAATTTCACGCCAAATGAGAATTATAATTTCGATTCAAAATAAATTAGAATTTTGAAGGCACGTCAACACCAACTTATAGGTTATTATCTTCTCTTTAGGAGAAGAGAAATTCTATTTAAAAAAGATGATAAATATGTTAATTGAACGAAACTTAGAGAAGTGTGTTTGCTAGAGGCAATGCTACATTCAAAAGAAAATTTGGTGTAAAATAAATTCCATTAAAACATAGGCCAACATAATTTGCAGTAGAAAAATATATTATGCCAAAACCAATGTTGATGTGACATACAAAATATGAAAGCAATAATAATATACATATACCTAATTTGAATCAAATCTTGTTAAAAACATTCTTCTATTATGGTTCTTCTGAAATTGGTAGTGAACTTCAGCAACACCCACTACTCTTGAACCCTTAAAAACATATTACTTTAGAAGTTCGGGTGAATAAGAGTCTCATCCCTTTGACTATCCTCATGTTCATCAAAATCTCGTTCCTCTTCCAAAAACAGTTCCTCCAAACATTGCAATGAGACATTTGCATTTGCTATCTGTCAGAAAATACAATTAGTATATAATCAGTACCTGCCATTGAAAGCCATTGATATTCCTCATGGAAGCATAAAATTCAATGGTTTCAATTTCCTAATCTTCAATTACGGCTGTAGATGGAAATCAAATGCTCGGGAAATCAAATCATCTGCACCATATTGAACATATATTTACTATTATAAGGTTAACTATCAAATGACTTGAATGAAAACATAAGTTAACACTTGGCTTTGATGATGAATCACATGTGAAAATCGACTCGATTAAGTAGATTTAAAATAGTGGTCTCTGGTTCTGTTGTGGCAGTCTCCAATTCTTCTTTAGCAATATTTTTGTTTGTGAAATTAGAGAAGCAAATGGTCACTCAGCCATGACCACCATGGTGAATATTTGCACTTAAAATGCTAAGACAACTCTGCAAACAATAATATTATAAAGCATTAAAACTAAAAACAAACTGTTTATTTCTTGGGCATGATAAAAAGCCACGCCATAAACTTCAGGCCAATTTGAATTCATGGGAGAAGGCCGGTGACAGCCCTGTCCATCATTGCACACAGTGAGTTTAGGAAGATCATTGGTGCAACAGATGTCCTGTTGACCCCCATAAGCCGAACCACTAATCCTCTCTCTATCTTCAACCTCAAAACCAAGTGCTTGAATCGATCATGAGGTAAAGTTTGATAATTCCTTGTTAAGACAGATTGTGACTATATTAAACCTGTTTTCACATGACAAAATCAAATCGCAATCAGCATAATTTCATTTTACGTATCAATGTATAAAAATTAAACTGTGAAACAATCCGTTATTCAATTTGTTGATTGGTCCCCTACTGATTCAAGTGTGAAATCAATTATCAGCCTCCATATCCATACATATTCCAAAAGAAGAACTGATTAAATCAAGAAAATAAATACAAAAATCTCAATTAGATACAAATAAATATAATAGTAAGCAAAATAAACAACATAATTGATGAGAATATACTGCCTTCTTTTATCAAAGATGTGATGGGAGAAATTGAAATTTAAATAGATTAATAATAAATTGAAAGAGGAAGCAAAAGAAATAAGCTTTTATCTATTTGGAGAATCAATCGTAAATATATATGTGTGAGCTTTGTATTCACCAAGACTAAACAAATAAAAAAAGCCAAAACTCAACCTCATATTTTAATTAAAAAAATTGAGAAATAAAATCTGAATAAAAAAAACATACCTAACAGCAAAAAATAAACAATATCATGGTTGTGTTGTTCGTCACATGCAAGCTCAAAAATCCCCTTCTGCAACTCTCAACCCTAAAGATAAAGATATCCCATTTTAGGTGTCAAGTTAAGCTTTTTTTTTTTGGAAAAGGAGAAATAGTAAGACAACCCTGAAAACGAAAAGAATACAACATAAAATATGATATTCCAAACTACATTTCAGTTTCAACTTTCAATCACATGTTTCAATCACTCACCTTCGTCACTTACATATGTATGAATCAAATTAACGTTAAAAATTGCATTTGAAGAAAATTCTTTTATAGATCTATAACGGGTGTTGTTGGTTATTGATGTTGTTGAGATTCAGAGGTCTTGGTTGCGACCACCATTCTTACGCTTGAACATCTGAAACAAATAAATTAACAGGTTAGGATGAGAATATTAGATGGTTGAGATTACAACGAAACGAAATTGGTAGCAACAAAGAGAGAAGAATGAAAAGAGATGGAGCGGCGCAGGAAGAAGATGAAATTAGGTTTTCTGATTTGTGTTTTAATAGAGTTGGGTGAATGAGTTATTTGTTGCATCTTGGGAAAAACGATTTCTTTGGTTGTATAGATTTACCGTTTCAAGAACTCAACATTTATTTATGATGGTTGTTCATCTTGTGCTGCCAATTTAAATCTTGCAACAAAAAACGTGATTAGGGTTTAGTGGAATAATTAGAATTTCAAAACCCAGTGTACGTAGCAGCTATAATATAAGTGTTTTAATTTAAATTTCAAATTGAATGATCTTTAGTTTGGATGAAGGTTTTGGGAAGTGGTATGTAGCACATAATTAGGTGTGATTATAACGTGTAAATATAAACAAAATGACATAATTGTTGTTAGTTAGAAATAATTAAAAAAAATAAAAAGTGGCAGAAAAAACCATAGTGTGACACATCAGCCATATTTATTGTCAAATCAATATGGTGCAAGTTTTTCAGAAAGTTACAAATATATCCTTGGAATAAGAAAAGTTATAACATCTAATCAAAAGGTTAGACTTGGAATTTCCAGATACTTTACTTTTAATAGATTGATAATAGATTACTTATAATATATTAGTACGATTCATTTTATAAAAATATAATATTTTAAATAACATTATTATATTTCTAAATTTTTCTTAATTTGTTCAGAAATACTTTAAACGACAATCATTTTTCAAACTGAGAGAGTACTAATTTGATTAAGGAAATGATTAGCTGTGTGTAAATGTGAGCGGGGTCTTATCTGGTACATATACAGTCAGTCATTCAAGAGTGAAGAAACCATTTGTGTTAGCTAACAAGGGTTTAAGAAAAGCGTCGCAGTGGGTGGCGAAGCCGCAACAATGACGACGGCGATGACCGAAAAAGTGAGACTCCGATTGTTCTTCGACGATCCTAACATTATCAGCAAGTCAAAGACGAAACAAGGCTTGAACCGTTGCTGGTTCCTTCTAGAACCCCACCTCACCACCATTTCCGATCTCGCTTCTCGTCTCCAAACCCTTTTCCGCCTCCACCGCACCTCTCCCGCCGGCGTCACTCTTTCGGTATACATTTATCATACTTGCATGCCCTTTTCGTTCCTCTTTTATCAATTCATTGTTCCGTTTGTTTAATTTTATTGTTTTTGATTCAGATGGATGGTTTTGTTTTGCCACCGTTCGTGTCCACTTGTATTTTGAGGGATAAAGACATTGTGTGGTGAGTCTTATTTGAGTTTCTGATGATGTTGTTAACTTGTTATAGTTTTTATCACTTATTATTGTGTTGTTTGCATGTGTATGATAGTGTGAGAAGAAAGGGAAGTAGGTTAACTGATAGTAAACCTGCAATGCTGCAATTAGAAGCACGTGAGAATCAAACGATAAACGCGTTGAACCTTCTTGCAATTGAGGGGGTTCAAGAGGAGAGGCGAGAACCTGAAACTGTTTCCCTAGATGACGACGACGATGATGATGATGATAATGATCAATCTGAAGATGTGGTATATGTGGAATCTAAATCTGATGGGAATACAACCTCGAAGAAGAGAAAGGCGTCAAAGAAGCTTAAGAGCCCTAGGTTTGCTTCTTCATGTTTTCTAACTGTTGTCCCTGCAAGCCTATAGACTTGTCAAGTTGTGTGAGTTTTGTCGTTTATGGTTTTTCACTTTTGGTTGTTTCAGAATCTAGTTTCGTTGAAGTAACTTTTGTAAGGAAGCTCAACTTGTTTTGGCTGAACTACTTGTTTTAATTTTCAACTTAGCCAGGGATCTGCCTTTTGTAGTTATTTATGGTTTAGAATTTCTGTAGCAGTTATTTGTGGATGTATACGTTATCTTGTTAGTTTGATTTTCATTATTTTTGTATTCAGTCAGAAGAAGATTAAGATGTCTACGACGGATAACTTATCAGTCATTCCGGAGGTCAATGATGAGGAAAATGGAAGTTTTAAAGACCACCAGCCAAGTCCTGCCAAGAAATCCTCAAAAAAGTTGTCAAAAAAGTCTAACAACCTTGATTTAACTAAACAAAAAGATGACAAAAATGGGTCAATAAGCGATGAAACAAGGTGCGTTTTTACCAGAGATTTATCATTTATACGATGTTTGGATTTTATATACATATATATTCCATTTTCTAATCGTAAATTACAGTGTATTTGGAAATTTTTGTGCAAGACACTTAACTGAGAAAATTTCATTGACAATTTGTTGCATGCTTAGTGATCTTATATTCTGGCCATTTTTTGGTTTTTCTATCTACCTTTTTAGATTGAGAGATGCACTTTCATGAAGTAGGAAATGGGGTTTCATGTATAATCTGTTTTATTCCTGTATCCCTCCTATCAAATCCCTTATTTTCATCCAAATTTATACCCTTGATCCCCCACAATGATGATGTTTGTTTCCATAATATTGAAAGTAGAAAAATTTTTTGTTTACCTTTTTTTCTTCTATATTTCATGTAGGTCTCTTCAGCCTCAACGTGAAGTCGAAACAAAAAAGGTACTGTTTTATTTTATGCTTTTGAATACACATTTAACCGAGGTTCTATTACCTTGATTAACAGATTTGGAATAAAATAGAGTAAATACTCAAATTAAGCCTCCAAAGATACACGGGGCGTTGAGTTAGTCCTCCAAAGATATTGGAGTCAAGTTTGGTCCTCTAGTGTAAATAAGATATTGCTGTTTTTATAAACCAACTTCCTAGCTACTTCATATCACATTTAGTAGCCAATCCCTTCACCGAAGAAGGGGAAAACTGACTGTTTCCTTTGTATTTGGAGGAGCAATTTTACTTCAGTCAAAAACACTCATCTCTAGAGATAATAAAACAACGTATCCTTTATATTTAAAATCAAACAATTATACTATAGCATTTGGAGACTAGTTGACGCCTCATTAAATTAGTTATTGCTGTTTTTATGGACCAACTTCCTGGCTGCTACTTATCACATTTACTAACCTGTCCCTTCACTAAAGGAGGTGTGTACAAATTTATCTGTTTTTTATTTTGTTAGTTGCCTAGCAGAAGTGCTCGGCGGAAAAAGGCCAAAAGAAAGTGGTTGAGGGAACTAAAATTAGAGAAAAAGAAAGAGAAGGAGAAAGACAAAGAGAGAGAGAATGAGAATGAGAATGGAAATGAGAACGAGAAGGAGAAAGAGAAGGTAATCTGATCTAGTAATATTACTGCAGAGGTCATTTACATTTTATATGGAGATTGGAAATGAGTTACTCTTGCTACTAATTACTGACAAATGACAATTGCTGTATATGGTGTTGTTTACTTGTTGGGCTATATACTTATAGTCTGATTAGTTAGATACCCACTTCATAATATTGCAAGGGTGGAAATCATATGGTAGTTTTATCGGGGTCACTTGTCTTTGGTTACCGTTTTCAAAATGTATTTGATCATTCTTTTTGAATGAAAATATTATTCTCTCTCACATTTTCAGCTTCATCCGAATCAGGTGCTTGAGAAAGATGATCAACAATTACCTATCAAAGATAAGAATGACATAGTTGCTGATGTGCATCAACAATCTGATGAAGAAAGTGAAGCAGAGGATGACATGGTTCCTGTGGAGATCAAGCCAGGGCACATTCGGTTCCAACCCCGTGGAAAAGGTTTTTAAAGCACCCTCTTTGCTATATCGATTTATTAACTAGCGTCTGTGTTTTTTTCGATTTTAGATTTGCTTTCCTGATCTGATTATATGGTACATATTTATGGTCTATTTGATGCAGATCAAGCAGTGCCAGAGAATCAGTTCCCAGTGGTTTGTTAAACTTTCCTCCACATTTACAATTTCAGTTGTGTTTAACTTATTGCCCAAAAGTGTCAATATCAAATATGTGATATAATCAATCTTCTGCACATAGTTGTACTGAACATTAGTATGTTTGCATCTGATCTTTTGTTTTGTTATTTTATTTTATTTATTTGGGTTTTAGACTATAGCTTGATGAAAAGAGTAGGGGACTTGAAATCAATCTGCCTTAAGTGACTTGAAATCCAATATTGCAAAATTTCCAAAATAGACTTCTTGTTGCTCTTAGGTCCTTTCCTAGGTCTGTAACGGGCAAATGGAGAGATGGGGACAGCTGAAATTATTTAGGACTAAACCTTATCAAACTGTTCCTTAATATATCAATTTTTTAGCCCTTGATTGATTTTGTTCCTCTAAAACAGCTCATGCAACCCATATCTTGATTTTAACCGGAGGGCCTAATAGTTCAAATAGTTTAACTGACTTCGATACCTACTCAAGAAATTTGGCTACAATGTTATTTCCGTGCCTGTTCGATTATAAAGTCAAAACCTTGCAGAAGGATAAAGTTTATCTTGGTGGTGTTTGAATTTCATGAGGCATGCTACCATTTGATTACAACATCCCTATTGATGTGTATATGTTATATGGATGTTTCAGGACACGTTTCAGTGGAGTGGTACCACCAGCAAGAAGAAGGGTCAGAAATGGGGTAAAGAGAGGACCTCATCCCATAAACAGGATGATTATGAGCAACCCCGTCATGATTTTCCTATTGTTCAGAATGCTGGGAAAAAACACACATTTGATGCAGTAGATTTTGACAAGCTCACACCTTATACAGACTTGCCTAAGGTTATTATTTTATTTTCTCCCAAATGTGTCCTTGTGGCATGTCTCATCCTGCCAAGCATCCAGTGTTGTCCATGGGGGGTGGTGGTCCATGGCGGGAGCCAAAATCCTGCCATACCAGGTGCTTTGCGGCGCCATTATAACGTATTATGGCAGAAAAATCCGCAATATGGGCCGATATTTACCATAGTGGCGACCTCAAAAACCACCCATGAAGTTAATCAACCAGCAGCCATGTGTTTGATGTTTTTTCAGCGACTTTTTGTTATATCATTCAAATTCAGAATTTTATTCTGTGCTATGAATCTGTAAATTGTGTTGCCTTTTATTCTTTTGGTACTACCAAGTAGTTTCTTCATATATTGCAGGAAGGGATTGTTATTGCTTATCGATTGATTGAGTTATCAGAATCTTGGACTCCTGAGATCTCCTCCTTCAGAGTAATTATCAAGTCTACTTTTGGACTATCTTATAAGAAACTATTTGTATCAGATGTAAGATGTAGGCATTCATGTCCTTGCAGGTTGGTAAAGTGACAGAGTTTGACAGTAAATCAAACAGGATATGGCTAGAGACAGTTTCAGAATTTCCATTTGATTTTAGGAAGAAAATAGATGACCTAGATGACGATACAACACCTGCACAGTATGATCCTTCCCCTTATCAGGAAGATGGTTCTTTAGAGGTAATGTAATTCCGTTTGTTTTTTTCTAAAAATCATTTTGCGCAGTAGTTTATTTAATGGGGGATAATTCTTGAAAAAATTGGTGCCGATATTTTTAGTCTTGCATCCAGTTATACAGTCCCACCATGAAATAAATTAAAATAAAATTCCATTATCCAATTGGTATGTGAATTTTGCCTGATATTGCACGCAACTATCAGTACATGGATTAAATTCTTTAGTTAATTTAAAATGGTTTTATTTATGCTACTGTGCATGCAATTCATGTGTTGAATTGTGATTCAATAATAAAACAGCACACAAAATTGTTCCATCATTTTGAATAAAAAATCTCCAGATTTTTTTTTTAATCTTTAGATGTATTTACTTTTTATCTTACTCAATCCTAGCATAGCATATACGCATGACAATGAATGTCGAATAAACTTGTCTATCTGACAAGAACATGCTGCGTGTTTGCATGAAAATGAAAGTATTTTCCTTCTGCAGATTGATTATGTATCTCTGGCTGATGTTCGAATCATTAAGAATGGCCACTCGAATTTGGCAACTGTAGTTGCTTCAAATGATGCTTTAGCAACTCCAACAAAAGCAACTAACACTAGCACTGATGCTTTGGTAACTCCAACAAAAGCAACTAACACTAGCACTGATGCTTTGGTAACTCCAACAAAAGCAACCAACAATAGCACTGATGAAAAACGTGTTGGTAATCAAACTCCTGTTGGAAGCTCGAAGCCACAAAAGGAGGGCCATACCCCTGCTAAAGGTAATGTACATTTTACAATTCTTAAAGTACATGGTTTACTGTATATAAACATGAAAACATCTTGATACACCTGCACCATACTTACGTATGTGTTTTCTCTTTTTACAGAAAATGGAGAAATTAACGTTTGGGATGAAATCAATGAAGCATTAAAAGCAAAGAAGGCCCGGCTGTTGCAGGGGGGTGGTTGGAAGAAAGATGATAGTTCAAGCAATAGGCCATGGTCTCAGAGAGCCAAATGCAGTGCACTGGGTCCCACAATGGCACTTTTAAGATCACAGAATGGCTTTAAGAAATAGTCCTACACTTGAGCCTTGTTTACTGCGTGTCTCTTTTCAGCAGATTAGTATATTACATGTTTTTTTTGGGGTATATATATGAACAAATTACCCATACTGCCATCTGTAATGAATGCTACATGTCCTGATTTCAGTATGCTAGTGGGAAAAATGTTTTGGGGTGCTTATTTTTAGTCCAGCTTTTGGTGTTAGTAGGTGTATTCCTCCTGAAAATGAAGCAGAAAATTGAATCAACTGCTAAACAAAATCTAGATATGGTCGCATCTAAAGTGACAAACATTTATTGCTGTTAGTATTTTGTATAGCTAGTTGGCCAACTGAACTGTATATATTGCATTTAGACAAACTAATTGTTGACTGTAAATCAGACCAAGCATGTTTAACTAAACCACTGTTCCAAATGATCTAATCGAAACTTAATTTTATTTATCAATGTGAACAGTGACCTATAACCGATGGTACCAACATTTTACACCATTCAGCAAGTGATCTTTTATACAAGCTAGTTCTGCTATCGTTTCATGTAAAGTTTGTATTTAATATTAGTGATTGATGGATTGCTGGCTAGCTAGCTTTGCATCATCATTGTGGCAATAATGCTCAACTGATGAGTCAACAAAAATAGGAAAACACCCGAAGTACTTAAAATCAAGAGAAAGATAGGCTCTATATCCCACTAAATTTAATATTAGTGGTTGATGGATTCCTGGCTAGCTAGCTTTGCATCATCATTGTGGCGATAATGCTCAACTGATGAGTCAACAAGAATAGGAAAACACCTGAAGCACTTAAAATCAAGAGAAAGATAGGCTCTATATCCCACTAAATTTAATATTAGTGGTTGATGGATTCCTGGCTAGCTAGCTTTGCATCATCATTGTGGCGATAATGCTCAACTGATGAGTCAACAAGAATAGGAAAACACCTGAAGCACTTAAAATCAAGAGAAAGATAGGCTCTATATCCCACTAAATTTAATACTAGTGATTGATGGATTGCTGGCTAGCTAGCTTTGCATCATCGTTGTGGCAATAATGCTCAACTGATGAGTCAACAAGAATAGAAAAACACCCGAAGCACTTAAAATCAAGAGAAAGATAGGCTCTATATCCCACTAAATTTAATATTTGTATATTTATATATTGGTTTGTACTTCAACAGAATCAGTGCACAGCACACATACAATCTTTATTGGGCATGTACTGAATAGAGTCTGAGCGTGTGTGAGTGCAAATATACATATAGGAATCAGCCAATTCTGGCTCAACTGATTCTATTCATTTCTCCTCCACTTCAAGCTCAGCCATCATATTACATAACAAGATACCATGATCCTCTTTATTACTAATCTCACTCTGCTTTTCAACAGCTGAACTAATGATATCATCATCTGCTATTAGCCATTTCCTACTGTTTTCATTATCAGATTTATTATAACTATCGTGTTTCTTAACATTTAAGTCAGGCAAATGGAATGACTGTGATCTTACCAGGTTCTTGTGGACTTTAGAGGATTCATTGACAGAGGGTAGCAACATCCGAGGCGGTATATTACTCCCTCTACGCTGTGCAATAGAGAGAAAAGATCCTTTTGATGGCAAATATGAATTTTCCCCTCCCAAGGCATGATCAGTCGAAAATGACTCTGAAGGTGAAGATAGAAGAACTTCTTTCTTAAGTAAAGAGGAACTTGTTGAGAAAGACAGATCTTTAACATACAAAGGTTCAATTGATTCCTGGCCAGACGGTGATGGCTGCTGAGAAGACACGAACGACAAGTCAGACCAATTGGTAGAGGAAGGCGAAAATGTAAACGAACTCGCGTAATCAGAACTTGAAGGCGAAAGTGTTGGCGACTTGGAATTGAATTTTGGGCTGCTGCATAGAAAACCACAAGGAAAATAACCGCCACAGGGAGATAGTGGCGGCAAAGAAGAAACACCAGGATCAGATTCAGACAAGTCCATGGCTTCAACAGTATCTTTTCCTCTGTCCAAGCTGGATAGATAACATTCAAAGGAATCCGGGGAGCCACACTCACTGGGATGGTTTGATGACAGTGACACAGACAAGGGATCATCATCAGCTACAAAATCTTGTTTTTCTTCCTCCATAATCACATCACACTTCCATTTGGGAGATGTTAAGATTTCTTTCATGACACCACTAGCAAACTTCCGCCTCAATCTTGCCCAGCCATGTTCTCTAGCAGGAAGACAAGTTTCTGATCCAGCACTCGTTTCAGAAAAAGGTGGAACAACCCCACCAGAAATCGCCTTGTGAAAAATCTCATAATCCAAATCATAAGCATCGACTTTTCTTACACCAATCTCCATCTTGTCAGTAGGCAAAACCAGCTGCTTATTAGAATCATCTGATAAACGTTGTTCATCAGAAAGAGCAGCCCAAAACTCAGTTGATTCTTGATCTTCACGGATACTCAGAATCGGACCATTTGCCCTTTCATAGCGTACAACCTGAAAAGCCGCACTCTTTGCATTGCATGACATGAACAAGTTACAACTTTTTCCAATCCATACATAAATAGCAGAAGGAACGTGAACAATGAAAGCACCACGAGAATCAAGTGCTAGCGAACCCGGTTGGTTAACCATCTTAGGGACAAGATGAAGAGGGTCATAAGGCGAATGAGGAGCCATTCGATACATCCTTAGAATAGAATTAGGACTTGCAGGCATAGCATGTACACGTTTCTGACACTGCAAGAGTTGACAAGCAAAACCCATGTTGGGATTTGTTACTCCCCTCGCAGTCTTCACAAACTGAAAAGCATCTTCAAAGCTCTGTCCTTTCCTCCACATGAGATAAGCAATCACCAAAGCCGTCGATCGAGAAACCCCTTGACAACAATGAACAAGAACGCGACCACCTTGTTCTCTAACATCCTCAAAGTAATCAAACACATCATAGAGAACACACGTTATATCCTCTGTAGGACTGTCCTGCAACCAAAGTGTTTTATACACAAAATCACTTTTGAAATATTCAGGACAAACAAATCCAACACAGTTAAGCACATGTGTTATTCCTTTCTGTCTAAGAAGCTCATGGTTTTTCGCCACCGTGTCACTTCCTAAGTAAATATGTTCGGCAATTCTAGAACACTCTTTGTCAAAGAAAGCCAATTTATCTCTTTTAAACTGAAAATCTTGCACGGGTTCATTGGTTTTTGCGATGGACATAGACCCTCTTGGAGTTTGTGGAAGTGGCCAAACACCAAGATCATCAGATCCAGCACTTGGCCATTCCTCAACGCTACGTTTATTGATTGAAAGAGGTTGAAGAGGTGGTAAACATGGACGTGGCGGTTTCCGGCTATTCGGAGAACGATCTGTCCATGAAGCTGAACGTGAATAGGTTCTCCTAATGGAAGGTGGTTTCATCTCTTTTCCTTCTTCTCCTAACATGTTGATGTTGCTAAAAGGGTAATGAAAAAGATTGAAAATCGATTCACACCCATTAAAGCATTTTTGCTATAGTGTTGAATATTGAGTAGGTAATGAATTGGGGTTGTTCAAAGATGTGGTCATAGTAAATGGGTAAGAAGGTGGTATTTGCGGTTTTTGAGTCGACAATTTTGTGTTCCATATTCCCACCTAAAACACTTGACTTTGTCTTTGTTTTTGTTTCTGACTCTGACTCATTCTTCGAGGAAAGGATTGAGAAGATTCAAACAAACTAAGCAACAAACACAAAGCAATAGACGGTTACAAAAATAGAATGGTTCTGTTGCAGGGATGGAAAGAATAATTCTAGGATCATGTCGAATCTATCAGAACTGAACACGAAAGAAACATAGGCAGAGCAAAGAGGATGTTGTACATGTATATTTGCTTGCTTGTAGTTATAGTTTGGTTGAATTGAGTGGAGCCCATGAAACCATAGCCATGCATGCCACGTAGGAATTTCTCACTATCGAGAGTCGTGGTCTTACACATGCGAAGGAATGTGTCAAACTGCCACGTCACAAATCATGGTCTTTTTTTTATATAAAAAATAATAAACTTTTTTCCATTGTAATAACCGTTTTTATATTAGTAGGAGCAGCATGGCAACGGCCACATATAAAAATGGCGATCAATGCTATTTTTATACGATTTGGAAAAGTCTACTAGTAAACTGTCCTAAGAAGAAAAGAGATGAAAATTCATCTAGTAAAATAACTACGTTCGGTCATGTTAAATCAACTCAGTTGATAGCTGTGCAAAGACATAGGGTGTAGGATCACGAGTTCAAATATGTGACTGTAGGATCAAGCGCCTACCACTGCGCTAAAAGCAATTGCTTGTAGCCAAGGTGCTACTCTATTTCCTTATAGCGAATCCAACAAGGGGTCTACCTGGCCCACCTAACACACCTGTGTAGGCGCCCATGAGGGGATGTTAAGCCCTTCGAATCCCTAAGGTTGACGCTGGATATTTTAATCCAACAATCTTCCCCCCAGTGTCAGCCGGGGGGATTCGAACCCATGACCTTGCTCTGATACCAATTGAAGAAGTGAAAAACACAAGAAGGGGGGTTGAATTGTAAAACTGAAAATTAATGCAATGAACAAGATATTTTTATCCTGGTTCGTTTGATCTCAAACTACTCCAGTCCACCCGTCAAGGTGATTTCGCCTCTCTCCAACGAGGTCTTAATCCACTATATTCAATTGAATATTACAATCTGCTTTAACAACTGCTAAAGCCTTCTTGATGCAAACCACAACCCGGTTTGTCAAGGAAACACTTTCTTATAAAGAAGATAAATCTAGGTGTGTGAATGTTTTCTACAAAACTGTATCACAACTGTGATGTTACACAATTTAAGCTTATGAAACTAGATTGCTAAAATACTGAGTGAGGAATTGTGAGGCGTTTAGCAAACTGAAAGAAGAAAGATGATGATTAGCTTTTAGGCGTGTAATATGATGTAGAGCATTAGCCAATTCAATCTTCATTGTCTTGTTTATATAGCACTGAGATTGTTGAACGTTGGAGCAATAATCTTGATTCAATGCCAATAACAAACTTTCCTTATTGAGCAGATCTTGTCTGGAATGATGCCGTTGGTAATAATTCGTTTTTAATGCACAGTACCGTTGCTACTTAAAGCGTGTTCTGGCTTGGCTTCATTCTGACTCTGCTTAAGTGCTGATGAACTATTGTTGTCTTTATCAGAGTGTTGAGCGCAGTTCTGTTCATCAAGCTTCAGCATACGCGTGAATCATTCTTCTGATTCTGGTATTCTGATATAGCATCTTCTGATGCTGACGTTGATAACCAATATTCCGATGCTGATTAAGTGTACTCTTGCTGATGCCTATCAGAGTTTCTGCAAAACAGAAGGTAATAATTTAGGTAGCAAATAGTTCTTATATAAATCACATAATTAATATATCTTTTCATTTTGTTATCATCAAAACTTAAACTTAGGGTAGTAGATTCAAACTTTGTTCTAACAATCTCCCCCTTTTTGATGATGACAAAAACTAGATATTTTTAATTGAAAATAACGTGAAAACGTATCAGAGATAACTAAATGATAAGATGTATCAGAGTAAGAGGTTATCAAAGATAGGGGATAAAGAGATATAAGAGTTGAGAGATACTCCCCCTGAATTTATTACTTCCCTTTTTAATTCCAAGAGTTCTTCAGGATCAGATCTTTATTGCCTTTCTTTGAACATCAGAATATCAGAGTTTTGACTATCAGAAGCTTTGGATCAGAATATCAGAGCAGAGCTTCAGATCAGAGTCAGAGCTTTGCTTTGGGTCACAGTATCAGAGCTTTAGTCTTCAGAATATCATGGAGCTTCTTGTACCTGTAGACTTAAGCAAAAAATAGAAAACATATTCAAGTATATCAGAGTTAGAATGTTTGAGAATTTCTGTCTTAGTAATCCGTTATTATTTAAAATATCATTCTTGTTCTCCCCCTTTTTGTCAGCAATCAAAAAGTGTAAGTGATGTGCTAAAACATTTAGAGCAGAAAAACTTGTCATATTAAAAAGTTCAGAATCAAACAAAACAGTACATCAGATAAGCAAAGAAAACATGAGAATGACATGAATGAAAATCTAAGGTTGGGGAGGAAGGCGTGTGAACAGGTTCTCCAGCATGGCTTTGATCTGATCAGCAGTCTCATTCTGTTTGTGCACCATGCTGACTACTGTGTCTATCTTGCTATCCTGCACATCCATCCTTTCTTTCATCTTCTGGTCATTTTCATCCATCCTTTGCTGCAGACGAATGTCATTCAGCTTCAGTTCTTCTAGAGTCTGCCTGTCCAAGGCAGCTTGAGAAACATCAGAAGCAGGGAGCTTCTGAGAGCTTTCTGCAACATCTTCAGCTTGGCTGACTTCAGCTTGAATAGTCTGATCTTCTTCTGGCTGCACCTTTGAAGCTGGACGCTTCTCAGACCATGGCTCACTATCCAGAAGGAGCACGTCTTCCTGTGGCAGCTGACTTTCAACTTCCTTCAGCAGCTTGCTGAAGTTCTGTTGTGCCTGCTCATAGTTGATATCCTGCAACTTGAGGGCTTCAGCACGTACCCAAATTCTGAATTGTGACCAGAGCTGGTCAGAGGCAGCTGGATTAATCATTCCAGGACAGACTTGCTTCAGAGAAGCAATCCACTGCTGCAAACCTGTTTCAAAATTCATAATACCAGAGCCAACATCTGGCTGTTTTGGTTTTGGAATGGCTATTTTATTTTTCAGATCAGCAAGACGGTCAAGGATTGTTAAATCTATGAAGGTCCTGCTGGGGTTTTCGGTGGTTTGCTTGGGAGCTGTTTGTTTTGGAGATGGAGTGGGAGAATCAGAAATAATGATTGGACTGTTTGGGGTTTTGGGAGTATTTGGTGGTGTAGATTCTGGCGAGGATGGCAGCTGGGCCATGGTTACTGTTGTTCCACATGGCAGCTGGATTGCCAGAGGTTGTGGTTCAAAGGATTGAGGAGATTGAGGTGGAGGAGATGGAGTTTCAGAATGATGAAACTCAGGTTGAGGTGATGGTTGAGGTGATGGTGGATGAATTTCTGGTTGAGGAGAGGGAGAAGGAATTGCTGGTTGTGGAGAAGGAGGAGGAATTTCTGGTTGTTCAAGGATATGTGGTTCTTCTGAAATGGGTGAGAGAGGTTGTTCTGGTTGTGGAGAGTGGACAATTTGTGGTTCAGAGTTTGGATTATTGGAGGGGTGATCAGAAGTGTGTTGATCAATGTCAGACAGCACTTTGTCAATTGCTGATGTTGTTGAGATTGTTGGTTTGGGATGTTTGGTTCGGGGTCTTCTGAGTTGTAGTGCCTCAGAAGGGTCATCTTCTGGTTCGGTTTCATCTATTGTTGGGATGGGGATTGAGATTCTATGAGAAGTTGGAGATGGGATAAATGTTGAAATAGTAGAAGAATTTAAAACAAAAGCAGCAGATAAATTACCTCTTTTCTTGGGTGTCTGCTGGGATGTTCCTTCTGAAGGGGCCTTCCTTTTCTTCGTCTTCTTCAGTGTAACTTCTGGTTGAGGTTGGTGCAGATCTTTGATATTCAGATTGGGATCTGTACCATCAGCCTTGCACGCGTCCAGATATCTGAGAACCACCACTGGTTTAGATTCTATCTCAGAAAATAAAGGAAAGTCACTCAGTGGGACTCTTCTGCTGGTGATGTCAGCAGTGGGAGTAATGTTGGGTTCCTTTCTGATATTCTCTATCAGCTTCATTTTCTTCAGATTCTTCGCGTTCAGAGGCTTCCCAACCGTTGGTTCAATGGTGCTTAACTCTTGAGCTTCTATCGGGTGCTCTATCAGCCTATTCTCAGTCAGAATATCTGATATCAATCTTCCAAAGGGTATCCAATCCCTCTTTGTTCTTTCTTCTTCCCTGGTCTCCTTCACGCTTGTTCTGAGGTGATTAAACAGAAGATGAGCCAAGTTGATTTTTACCTTCTGATTGATAAAATAGATCAGAAACTGCTGATCTATATTTATGTAATCAGGGGAACTAGTTGGCTTCCTATGATTAAAGCACCCCAGAATGATCTTCGCCCAAACTCTGTGGTGATCCTTTAAATCTCTGATCTTGCTGCTGGGCAACCCAAGGGTAAAAATCCTTTCAGCTATGACGCCCACGTCAGCACATCTTTCAGCCATATCAATACAGCGGACGCCACCGCCACTGTAACCAATCAACTTTGCTATGTGATCCTCAGTGATCACAATCTTCTTCCCCATTATGTAGGAGGTGACTTGATACGTTGATGCAGTTGCGTGAATCCAGAACTCCTTGACTAACATTGGAAAAGTTGGTCCAACCAACCTGTCAAAATACCTTTCCCATTTCTGTGCCCTAACTTCTTCTGTCAAGTCAAAGCCATTCTCCTTCAGACTGCCAAAATCAATAATCAGTTCAGATAACACTTCAAGATTCTT